CCCCAAAACCCCAAAACCCCAAAACCCCAAAACCCCTCAAAATTTATAAAAATAGAACAAATTATTACAACAATGGAAGACAATGAAGACGAAGGGTTCTCCATAGGAATAGTTGGTCAGTAATTTACCTGCTAAAATTTAAAGAATTTCCTTCAAAGATTCACTAATTGCTAACAAATTTTAACCTGGATTATAGACACATTCCCGTTATTCCCAAAATCATCGAGATCAGTGAAGAGCCTTCACTCAGTCGATAGAGGAAAATATAGAAGATCAGTTGGTGAAGAGATACTTAAAGGTGATAAATACTCTGAAAGATATCACAAACTAAAATAAATCCAGAGTTCCGTTCCTTGCAGATGAACCTCAAAGAGCCAATCCTTTAGAGTATAAGCATTTAAGACCTGTGGTAAGCATTTTTAGCTATAATTCATAGCTTGATGGAAAACTTAAGATTCCTTATTGAACAAAGACCGAGTTTGATAGAAGAGTTCATGGAGAAATTGCAGAAAAGGAAACAAGAGTTAAAGGAATTTTCTCAAAAGTAAAGATTATTAACTATATTTCTAGTATGACACGGACCCAAGGAACAAATTATTACAAAACCTAGAAACTATAAAAGCCAAGCATGAAGAAGGTACTAGAGTCTCGAAAGACTTTTTGAACATCTATAAAGATGTTGAACATCATATTCTTTATAATAAAAAACCACTAAAACAATTCAGAGATGTAAATGTGAAATACTACGATGATAACAAGTCCAACGAAGTTTTTACAAACACTCATGCAAAGGGTGTAATAGTGCCTCCAGGGAACCCGTTCTACGGTGGATTTCCAGCATATCTCCGATATCCTAATAATGACTAAACTACCTATAATTCCATTCACTCTGCTTCTTCTCGGTTGCCCATTTGTTCTCGCCTAGTTAGTCAAAATTATGACTTCTCAGAAATTTTCCATCGCAAGGTTAGAACCCACTGAAAATCTAACCTACAGCCAATGGAAAATTTCCTAAATCTCCTAAGCTGAAATGCTACTCTACATAACATTTTCAGCTTTAGACCAAACTCATTCGAAAATTTACTCCTTCAATAATTCTGAAGGATTAAGGGGTTTTGGGGTTTTGGGGTTTTGGGGTTTTGGGG